TATTAAAAAAGTTCTTTTGTCTCTGTGTGATGGCTTTTATTGTAAATATTGTAGATTTTATGTTTTCTTTATTTACATAAAAGGTTTATTTTGGCTTTGATCGACAACACTTTCAGTGTTTTAATTTTTAGTTTTTATATCTTTTTATTATTTTAAAAATATATAAAATGTTAATTAAAATAAATTAATTAATGAGTTTAAGAGGCCATATGCTACTGTTTTCAGTTTAGAGACTTTTTTGTTACCTCCCAATAAGTTTAAGAGGTAATTTGCATGATTTGTCAAGATTACATGTGCAATAATTTATATATAAGTGTTTATAAAAAAATATTTTAAAGTGTAAAATATATAAATAAAATATTTAAAAACATAAAATATTTATAATAAATATAAATATAATTTAAATTATTATGTCCACATTTTAACCATCCTAATAAGGAGTGGATCTGCAGAAGTCAGTTTAGCAGAAACATCAAACATCACTGCTGAAGACTTGGAGTAAGAAAGGGACTGGCAGTTTGCACCCTTCCACCCACTTAGTTTGAAGGGATTGCAATTCCCCTCCCTATTTTCAAAAACATGCGAAGGCTTTGTGGTTAGCTTACTACGATTTTCGGGTCACGCTTTGTTGGATATAGTTGCTATTTTTTTTATTAAATCATAAAAATAGTGGGAGTCAAACTCCTAACCACTTGAAATTAAATATTAAGGTTTGATGGTGAATTATTAGACCAGATGGACTCAGACTGGTTCGTCTAGTTATTTAGTAAAAGTGCTGTGCGTTTGGTTATTTCTGTAGCTTGTGTGCTGCATTCGAATTTCAACCTCCAGTTTGAAAATAAAAATAAATAAATAAGTAAATAAACATACATATTTTCTTTCCAGATCATCCTTCTGTCAGTGACCTCTAAAGTCAATCATCAAAAATAAAAATAAAAATATAAGGCAAAACCATAAGTTAAGCCCCTGAACCAACCCCAGAATCGCTATTAAGCCCCTAGACTCTAATTGATGCATATAAGCCCCTGAACTCTACAATCCGAGCAATGTTGCCCCTCCTCTCACAGTCAACTTAACTGCTGTTAACTGCCGTTTGAGGACTGCATCGTGTGGC